ACCGAACAGGCCCTAATATATTTTTATTTTTACAATATATTTTTATAGTATAAATGTGAGAATATAGTATGTAGGTTAAAGGCTAAAAGAGAAAGCCCTCAACCATATTATTTTAAAAATGACTGTTTGAGATATAATTTGTAGATAGTAAATGATTAATAGAAGAATTTATTGAAAATCAGTACAAGTTTGTCTCTATATTTCTACTATAGTATACTCTTAATGGATTTAAGCTTGAGAAATGATCAAAGTAGGTCAGACTCTGATTCAGAAACAGATAATGTTTCAGCCCTACTTCATAACAACAATGATAGGCGATATTGTCTTGGCATATATATGTATTTTGTAGTTGCCCAAACGAATGCTTATATTTTAGAAATATTGTATAAATTTATATTAGAATATATTCCATTTACCACTTTTATTACAATATATTTTTATTGTGACGCGCCGAACAGAGCCTAAGTTTTTTCTGGAATGTTGTTTTCTCCAACAGCCTAATATACTTATTCTTGTTATACCATCACAGCGATCCTTTTATAAAAATCCCTCTCTCTCTCTATACACGACACAAAGTTTGAGAGAAATAGGGCAAAAGTAATCGGACACCTAGTTGCTTTTTTTAAATATTGGAACGCCCCCTACCTGGCTTTGGCGGCGGTAGTGGTATGGGAATCTAATAATATGATGGAATCTTGTCTTGTTGTTGGCCACAAAAGGGTGATCACAGGTCAGGCCCCTCGGGCCCAGTCCTGGGGAGTCCTTGGGGTTGGGGAATCCTTTCTAGAAAATTTTCAGAGAGCTCCGCGAGGCGCAGTGACATGTATTCTGTAAACTATTTTATCTACTTATCCGGATATTTAATTGGTATTCTACTAGGAAAAACAGTGATAGATTTTGAGTCAATCCAGAATCATCGCAAGGAATTATAACATTTCTTTGCCGAGAATCTTGGGCTTTAGCACTTTTTGTAGGACTCCATCTCTTGGGGGGCCCCGCAGTCCGTGCGCCCGGGACAACCGGGTGGGCGACCTGGAGGAGGGGCGCCGGCTGGCTAAGTCCGATAACCTGTTTTTGTTGGAATTGTGGAGTCTGGGGCGGCTGTGTAGCGGAGATTGTCTTTGGAGCCAGAGCAATGGATGGGGGTTTGTACTCAGTCTTCGTCCTGTTCTGGTCTGTAAGAAGTGTTGTCGGTGTGGGGGGCTGGCGGACTGTATTGCATGCTGATCAGGAAATCACATTTCTGCACCTTGCCGAATGCCCGACCCTAGTCTTGCTCATACGAGTAGAGAAAGTTTAAAATTACAAATTAAGGACTGAGCGTCCAGAAGCCCTCTGATACCGTGAATTAAACTCATCCTACATCTGCCTCACCTTAAACCGGACCCATTTCCTCCTCACCCATTCCATCCTCTCCTCTAGCCGCTCTTTCAGTTCTTCAGGACACATTCCAACAGCAACTATAAGCATGGAACACTGTCCCCTCTTTGGGTCCCTGTTCAAACCAATGGCATCCTCTCTCCCACCCAAACCACAACCCCCACGATAAAGAAAACCTAACAACTTCGGGAAACACAATCCAGCGGTACAGGATTCTCGCCAGAAACACCCCTATGAGGCACCAGCATATCCTCCGGTAAGTCACTATTGAATATGTCTGCAGGCTCCGTGATTCCTAACGAGGAGCCCACAAGCTCGCGAATATCCCGCGGGAACTCCAGCAGTGAGGAAGAATCCACCCAGGACCTTTTCAGCGACCAGCTGTATTGTCCTCCACGTGCCATTTATCGGAGTTTTTTATTGAGAACATGGGCAACAGGTGAATATCGTCCGTGGGGATTAAGCGCCCGGAAGGGAGTCTAGGGGGCACTCGGAATACAGGTTCAGGCGGTGCTCGGGGGGGGGCGTAAGTTGTAGTGTGCTTGTAAGGTTTTTTTTATGCCATGGCTCGGCGAGATCGCGGAATAGTAGCTTCCTCAACAGTACCCCTACACTGACGGAAGACACAAATTGGGTATCGCACCACCTGTAGTCTTGGAACCGAGACCGCCTTGTAGAGGTATATGGCGGATTCAATGTTCATCGCGTCTGCCTCATCAATGATTGTTGAAATTATGATGACGAGAAAGGAGGTGAGGTTTTTTTTGAGAGGGAGGCTTTAAAAGTCGAGGACTGTAGACGACGTTGGGGGAGATCTTTTTGCATTCCATGCGAGGCACGGGTGTGCGCCGGCACGGCAGGGTGGGCGCGGGATATTGGTGATAGCAGTAGTGGTGCTATTTTTATCTCCATTCTCCTTGTATCTCCCAAAAGGAGCAGGAGTGGGGACGGTGGGACGTTGCCTCTCTTGGCCCCTATGCTAATCTGCTTCAGTGTATGGGGTTGGGTTTGATGGCGAGGCCTTGCGCAGCGGAGGTGAGAAATCACGATGTGGATGGAACCGAAGGTGAAGTGAGAGGAGTCGTTCGTGTCTTCTCCCCAAAGCACCGAAAGAAGACTAAATACAAAGTGCAAGGATGACAGCCATTCCTACAGAGGGCTGTTCATCCTAAAAACAAACAAACAAACAAAAACATCATATATCACCAAATAAGGGCTCACACTCTCTGCCTTCTCCGCCACCTACATGGATCTCCATACATCTCTCTACTTCACTGCACTTGCTCCCCCATATCTCGCTGTTGGGATCATGCTATCAGGGTTAGGGTTTATTTTAGCAGGCAATACTTGTACTGTACATGCGGGTGCTTTTAAGGATTCTTCGTTGGGATAAACTGTGCACATCAACCTGGTTTGCACAGGACAAGTAACTACCCAAATGCTGTACTTGAGTAGATAGACATGCCTCAATTGCGGGGTATCGGCGAATTCAGAACCTAATAGCATTGCCCAAGCCTTCTGAGTGCAAGCATTGGTGTTACAATACCCCATCATCTGCTTTACTGGCCATTTTCCTCAGCCTCACCCGCTAACAAAATCCCTGGTTTCTGGAGGGTATATTTCGATCCCCGACACATTACCAACACGCAGTGGTTGAAATACCCATATCGTGTCATTACGCCAAATCTTTGTTCTTCGAATTGCTCTGGCTAGGATTAAATCCCATAGCTGCCTCATAACTACAGAATTAATTGCCATCAAATGCAGGGTAGGATCCTGGAGTGCTCGTTCTACCATGTCTAGTATTGTAGTGACTTATTCCAGAGCTTGACAAACAATTTTGAAAGACCGCGATAGGCAAAAAACAGGCTACCATTCCCGCTGCAGTTGCACTTGCTCTACCTTCCTGCTCTCATGCTCTATACCTCCAGGGTCTGCTCCGCAGCGAGCTAAATATTTGATGGATAAATGGGTTTTCAATCCCTTGCATGCTTGGGATTTTAAAACTAATAAGCACTCATCTTATAGTCTTTCAGGAAAACTTTGAATTGATACTAGTGGAGACATTAGCGGAAATATGAGGAATGATAATGCTCTTGGAAGTAATAACAACAAGACAGTCTCGAGTACCCAGATCAATGTTACCCTGCTTGGGGGACTGGATCGGGAGCCTGGGTTCAGGGTGGGGAATCAAGGGATTATCATTGCCCCAGAGAGCTTTCCTGCAAATAATTAGCGTCCTAATACCACTGGAAGAAACATCTGTGGTGCTGCAATGCCAGGAAAAGTATGATGAATCAGTGACTCGGAGGCGGCATGGACAGAGGAGGCCAAAAGTGTGACTCAAAGTATGGCGCACGCTAGGATGGACAAGAGTTGATAGGAGTGGGCTGACAACTTCTACTGGCGTGAGAGGCTCTGGGAATCTACCGGGAACAATGTGGGAATGTGTGGAATGAACAAGAGAGACGAACGAGAGGCGGTGGAGAGCTGCTGGTGCGCTGTTCCCCATGGCCGAGGGTAGACCTATGTACGGAGGAAGCATTGGGCATTTTTACCCTCTTCCTACATTTTATTTTGCTTTATTTCTAGCTTCTCTTGGTTGTCTATTTGTTTATTTCGCAGTGAATTATTTCTTCCACTCTCTTGCCCCCTAAGGTTCTGGGAGTCCCTTTTCGAACTAGCGGAAACATGAGAAGTCACTCGCTTGCGATGTCTAATTTAGTTGTTATCCACCAGTCTTGTTTCGTTTCATCTAGTTTCTTTTAGTACTTTCCTTACTACTCATTATTTGCTGTTCTCCTTAGGTTCTCGTATCTCCTCTTCCCCTCCGAGGTCTGCTCAAATTGTTCCTTTCTTCCGAGGTTCTCATATTACCCCTCCCCAGCTTTCCGATGGTCTTTTTCGTCTGTTTTGTTTCTTAGATTGGCATGAAAACCGGAAGCTGCGCATGCGGTAAAAAAGATCGATCTTCTTTGCCCCCCCCCCCCAGAGGTCATACAAATTCACATGCAATCCTTCAAACTTGAGGGTGTGAAGGAACAGCCTGAGTTATGATACCCACCAAGGCTTCCGCGCATTCGTGCGGCCAAAGTGCCTTCCCGAAAAGCCAAAAATTGCGCGGGCGAAACCAAAGGCACGCAGCCAGAAACTATGCTAAGACAAACCATCGCGAGAGCATGCCGAGCAGCACCTCACGATTTTGAACCGTACTGTAGAGACCCCGTGATTGACATGCTATAGTGATAGAAAAGAAGCAGAAAATATCTCTGAATCTTGTGTCTGGGTTGCTAAATTTGCTAATTTGTGACACTAACCCGCTGTACCATCGGATACTGCGCTGTCAGTGCACAGCCCAAGATGAATATCTTTAGCTTAGTCTATGTACCCAAGTAGAGTACGATACATGGAGCATGGAGAGAGCTAGCGAGAGAGTGTGTCCTTATAGTAGCTTATTTTTTCTCTTTTCCATCTCCGGTTCACAGTTAGTTTTTGTTCCCAGATTTAGATTCGCCCTAAACCCATCTCTGCCCCGGTCAACTGTACAAATCACGGTTATCTACAACTTTAAAAGCACAATGTACCGAGACGTGAAATAGTGGAGGTGCGTTATTGCAAACCGGAATACATTGTGCTGTGGTATCGCTTGGTATGTCAATACAATACTTTTCATTAAGAGAAAATTGTTATTTCCCACTGGCTCGGTTAATTGTTTCTCAAAGAAGTACTCCTGTTATATGTTTTTATTTTTATTTTGGTATTATGCATATCTTGCCTAGGCTAACATGTATGGGAAATGACATAAGAGCTATGCCTGGCCACCCAGCTAAGTGTGCTTGGCTTATGTTGAAAAAAACTCGAAGCTTACCTGGTCGTGTTTTGTTTCTGGTCATGTGGTATCACTCGCACCAACTATGAATTGAGATGACTACAATCAAGAAGAAAGGTTGATATCCATATCACATGCACAGCTGTGAATGCTTACGCCAAACTGAAAAGCTAAACAGAAGCGAAGAAATATCAAAAGACAGGGGTTGATAATATGAGAACCTCGGAAGGGAGGAATAATTTGAGACGATCTTGGGGAAGAGAACATATGAGAGTCATAGGAAAACTATGAATGATGAGTAAAAGGTAATCCCATAGTTGGATATGGCATAGTTGAGAAGTTGTAAGATTAATGGAGAAGAGACGAAGAAAAACTCTAACAGTCGCGGACTTTACAGAAAGTGGTGAGGAGAGTGCTAAGTGAAACAAAATGAATGGAAAGAAGTCTGTTTGGTGGATAGGCGCTGAATCCAACATCGACTGTTAATGCTCGTACTGTATCGAGAACCCGTGTGCAGGATATATTCCAAGTATCGAATGAATAAAGATATATCCCCAAATCCCGGTGCAATCACAATAGATGGCCGTTTAGCCTCCTTGACCTTTGCAAATTAAATAAGCGCTGTGCGTTCGCAAAATACCATATTGCTCTCCTCTCCAGTATCTAATCTAAGTTCCCTATGCACAGTCTCTCAGAAGTCCGGCCAAAGTTTAGGCACCGGCTGGGCGCTTACTTGCAGTTACGCCGCCAAAGGCCCCCTCAAACCAGCCTGCCACGTCCTCCTTTAGGGGTAGCCATCCTGGAAGCTTCCCCCACCGGCACTGCGTTCTGGGGCATTAACAGAACATAATCCGATATCATTGAGATTGTACAGATCTGCACTTAGCTCAGCGCCCTGGGGTCTCCCAACCCCACCTCGTACAAGTAACTACAGCACTGATATTTTATCACCCATTGCAGGAATTTACGAGCAAAAACTGAGAACGCATACACCAGTGTTCCGTTCAACCTATGTTAGTGTATATATGTCCCAAAAATTCCATGAATCTGAGTAATCATGACCGGTCACTCATCTAGAATGTAGATTGCTGCCCTCCAGCTAAGCGAGCTCCCAGAAAAGCAGCTATCGGCCAGGCCAAGGCAGGCTCAAGGTGGTGCCGGTTGCAAACACCTTGCATAGTAGGTTGTTTTGGGTCTACAGTTTTCCCAATGCCCTCTCCTGCCTCGTTTCTGCGGACCCCTGTGAGCTATCTTCCTACTGGATCGGCACTTGAACAGAAATCGATATCTGGGGGTGGTTTTTCATCCACTACCAAACTACACGCTAAACCCTACTCGGAGCATAACGAAGGTCTCAGAATATTATGCAAGATCACGATGAGGCAAGCTGTGCGAACTCCAGTACAACAGGGTAGAGGGGGGTTCCGCCCCGGGGAGATTGGGATGGGAGGAGGCAGGTCTCCCCAGTGCCTTATACAAGAACGTATCCATGACCAGATGGCAACGGATGAATGGGACGCAGAGGGGTTGTAACTAGAGTCCGGACGTGCCAGGCGCAGGGGGGCATCGCACCCGGAGTCGGGACACACCAGACACAGGAGGGCATCATAAGAGCAGTCAGGATGCACAGGACGCAGGGGACACAAGAAAAAAAGAACTCTGCCTCTGGACAAGGCGCCTGCACATCAGACGCAGAGTGTTTTTTGATGGTATTATAATCCCCATAGTAGAGTGTTGCCATGGTTGAGAGGATAGATGTGGCAGAGCATGGGAGCATAGGTACATGCAGAGACATGTATGGGAAATGTATCAGTGGAGGTATACATGTATGTGGTGCTTGTAGGCACAGATGGGTATGAGGGTCTACCCTCTTGTGGTGTCTTTCCATCTATGTATTAGATAGCTTGCCACCTTCCGTGGATAAGAACAACACACTTCTCCTCACCTCCGATCCTACCAAAAACTGTGCACGTCCACCACCTCCATCATTTTTTTCCTGATGCACTACCCCCCAAGACCACCCCAATAGAGCGACTAGACATAATAACCTAGGAGGCATGTTCTTCCGAAGGTTTGGGCAGATTAGAGACCTCAGAGACCTCCAAGAAGCCATTAAGAACAGTGAGAAGGTGCTTGCTGCTACCTGTCAAGATCACCCGTATCAAGGGTCCGTGCATAGTAACCTAGAGGCCAACTCCTTTGTAAAGTTTGTGCAAACTGGAAATCT